TGTCTGTCTGTCTCGGCCTGTTTTGTCCCGTTGGTTATTTTTCTTTTTTTCTAATTATTTTCTTGTTGTTGTTGTTGTCTTTCTTCTTTTTTCTTCCTCCCTTTGATTTTCTTCTCCTTCTTCTTCTTCTCTCCTCCTTCTTTATTGTATTATTGTTCTCTTGTTCCGTCTCTCCATCTCCGCCTCTTTATGATCTTATGTCTTATTCATTTATTCATTTGTGTTGTTAATGTATCATGTATTCTCTCATTCTCATCCTTTTCCTCTTTCTCATTACCTTCCTCTGCCGTATTCTTAATTCTTTGTCGTCTCTTGTTTTCTCTTATTCTTTGTTCTTATCTTCCTTTCCCCTCTTCTTCTCCTTCTTTTTTCCTTCTCTCCCTCATTCTCTTATTCTCCTTCTTCCTTAGTCCATCCAGTTCTGCTTCTTTATCAACTTTATTTAATTGCTGCCTCTCCTTCCCATCCTTCTATCTATTTCTTCATCCACCTCCTTCCTTTTTTACTTATCTAACGTATCTACATCTATCCATCTCTATCCATTCTTTACCTTTCTTTCTTTTGTCTTTTCTTGTTCAACAATTAAACCTTTCCCTTTCTCTCTCTCTCTCTCTATCAATCTACTTGTCTTCTATTTCGACGAATTTATTTTCTTCTCGCTTATTACCTCTCTCCTCCTCCTTATCCACCTCTCCATCTCGCTTAACTCTTCATCCATTTCTTACCTCCTTCCTCGCCTCTCCCACTCATTCAGCTCATCCGCCTCTTCACCTCCTTGTCTTTCTCTTCACCCTCTCCTCTCTATCTCCTCCACTTCCTTGTCGCCCTCTCCTCTCCTCCCTCCGTCCGGCTCTCACCTCTTGTCTTTCTCTGCCTTCTCCTCTCCATCCCCTCCATCTCTCCATCTCTTTCTATTCCTTTTCGCCCTCTCCCCCCTCTACCACCCTCCACCTCCTTGTCTTTCTCTTCACCCTCTCCTCTCTATCTCCTCCACTTCCTTGTCGCCCTCTCCTCTCCTCCCTCCGTCCGGCTCTCCACCTCCTTGTCTTTCTCTACGCCTTCTCCTCTCCATCCCCTCCATCTCTCCATCTCTTTCTATTCCTCTTCGCCCTCTCCCCCTCTACCACCCCCTCCACCTCCTTGTCTTTCTCTTCGCCCTCTCCTCTCTATCTCCTCCACCTCCTCCTCTTCCTTTTCGCCCTCTCCTCTCCTCCATCCATCTACCCCTCTACCTTCTTATCTTCCTTTTTACCCTCTCCTCCTTCCCTCCATCCATCCCTCCATCTCTTTCTCTTCCTCTTCGCTCTCTCCTCTCCATCTCCTCCACCCCCTTCTCTTCCTCCCCCTCTCTTCCTCTCTGCCCTCCCACCCCCTTCTCTCCCTCTTCACCCCCTCCACCTCCTCTTCCTCTTCTCCTCTCCACCCCTCTCACCATCTGCACTTCCTTCTCTTTTTATTCACCCTCTCCATCTCCTCTACCCCTTCACCTCCTCTCCCTCTTTCGCCCTCTCCTCTCCTCTCCACCCCTCCACCTCCACTGACTTTGCCCGAGGTGGAACGAGACTCAGGAGGTTGCCAAAGCGCGCAGACCACCTCTCTCCCCCCTCCTTCTTCCCCTCCCCCCTTCCCCTCCCACAAGCTTCCCTCTCCACCCAAATTCTAAATTTGTCTAACGCTGTCAAAAATGTTTATGGATTTCTATTGGCTTTTGGGATAACCTTGCTGTGGGTGGCGTGAAGGTGGGTGGATGGGGTGGGGGGGGATGGGGGTGGGCGTGAAGGTTGGGTGGAGGGGGCTGCGGGGTGTTGTCGCAGGGGGAGGGACAGGAGGTAAAGAGGAAGGGGGTAGGGAGGGGGTGAGTGGAAGAGTAGAAGGGGAGGGGGGAGGGAGGGTTGGGGGTGGGGGTGGGGGGGTTTGTTGATAGAGGTGATGCGAATTGCTACGAAATTGCCGTGTTTAGTTTAGGATAGTTTGGGGACGAGAGGCGTGGTGTGTATTCATGCATGCAAAACAGAGGAGGAAAATAGAAGTACGGATGTGCATATATGAATGTTAATGAGCACGGGATGTTTTCTTTTTCCTACGTATCATTTATGGTATGGAGACACATACACATTCTCTCTCTGAAGTACTCTCACACGCACACACACAAACAAACATTCTTAAATTCACCTACATATATACTGGCTTGCTAGCATGATACCTCGCTCACTCACACACACACACACACACACACACACACACACACACACACACACACACACACACACACACACAAACACACACACACACACAAACACACACACACATACAGCACCGATGACGAAAATGGCAACAGGAGCAAAAAATATCTTTATTTAATGTATTTAATTGCATAAAAAAACATACCTGCT